GAGCACAGGTTTAGGTTCGGCCTCAATGGGAAAATGGAGCACCTAACAACGCATCTTCACAGACCAAGAACTACGAGATCACCCCTTTCATTCTGGGGTGAYRGAGGGATCGTACCATTCGAGCCTTTTTTTTTTTTTCATGCTTTTCTCGGAGGTCTGGAGAAGGCTGCAATCAATTATCTCTTGACTCGAAATGGGAGCAAGTTTGAAAAAAGATCTTAGAGTGTCTAGGGTTGGGCCAGGAGGGTCTCTTAACGCCTTCTTTTTTCTTCTCATCTGAGTTATTTCACAAAGACTTGCCATGGTAAGGAAGAAGGGGGGAATTATTATTATTATTATTATTATTATTATTATTATTATATGCATTGGGACAATTAAAATAATATAGTGTTTTATTTAATAGAGTACTATATTTGGAGTGGAGACTTGATCTCTATTGGAGGAATTTGGCGATTCAGAAATTCATCACTATTTGCAGTAGCTAGTTGTATGTCCTCTCCCAAAATTGCTCATACGTTGAATTTTGCAATGGAAGAAATGTAACTCTACTGTTTTCTCAATCAGGATGGGGGTTTTGCATAGCTTATTATTGCTGCTGCCTAGTGGCATCTATATTTATTTAAAATCCCTCAATCAATACTATATTCACATAGATCTCGCTCTCAAATTCACATGTATCATACACACCCAAAAGGACTAAATGGGTTTATGTGTATCATGTCGAAAGCATTCCCAACAAACTGGGCTTGGGCTGGCAAAAGTTTTCTCTTTTATGTGCACAATATTACCTGGAAAGATCTATTGTGGACGCTAGCTTGTTTGTGGATTGTGGGGGATCTCTCATCTCTTTTGGGAATGCAGATATCTGCTGCGGGCAAGAATGCTGTGTACACGTTATGAACAGGACACTAAACCCACTCATTAGTGTTTGCAGCTATTTTATCTGCTGTGTAATACAATAATACTGCTATTTTAGTTTTCAATAAGAACTAGTGTAGTGTCCTACTCTTACCCATAATGTGTTTGCAGTGTTTGTGTGCAGTAGATCCAAATTCCTTTGCCAAAAGACTTTTGCTGTTTGGAAAAACAGTTTCAATATCCTGCACATGACACAATATTATCTAATTCAAGTCCTTATTTGTCTTTTTAACTCATATTCATGATAACGTTAATGCACGCAAAGCTCTGTGTGTGTCTGTGAGAGAGAGAGAGATATGTGAATTGATTTAACAGGGTCATCCAATATTCACAGGATACAAGGACACAAAACAAAAGTATGTGGCATCATGTGGAAAACACTATAGTATAGATAACTGATCGACTTGCAGGCTTTCCAAAGCTCCCACATATTTCAACATTCATTGGTTGAAGTTGAATCATGGCATAATTAACCCAATCATCGATCAGAGAATTTTACCATGACTCTACGTGGTAATTAGAGGCCAGGACATATCTTGTAACATCTTTTTACTTTTATTTCCATCGCATAACTTTTTCTTTTTTTTTTTTTGCATAAAAGCAGTTCGATCAGAGTTTCAACAATTCATGTGACATATTATAACTCACAAGAAATGGATAGGTTCTACCTTGAAACAAATGGAAACGATTTCAAACTGGCTTTGAATCAATCTTATCTAATTTGTTATTGGATAGGGTCTGATTCTAAATTCTTGTAATTGATCCCTACCCAAGCCAATTCTAGGGTTTAGGGGTTTATGCTACCAGAAGAACAAACCTTGATTGAACTTGGCGAATTGGCCTCTGAATTAAACTTTTCTTAAAATAAACCCCAAAATACTTTGAGGGTGTGAAAATTTGAACCCAAACACTAATGGTTATGAAAATTATGGTCTCACCTAGCCATTGAATCACTTAACTGACTTGATCATTTTTCTTCAATTTCATATTTAAATGTGTATAATAAATAATGCAAAAGGCAATGTTTAGAGATTTTTTTGGGAGAATGTTTAGAGAATTTAAATTATAATGACTAATGTAAGGACGTGTTATGCATGTGTGCAACTAGAGGTAAAGATATAAGTTAAACATTTATAGATAAGTCTAAACATCAAATTTTTTTTAAAAAAAAATCTATTTTTTTTGTGGGGAAGGGATAAAGAAAGGTTAATTACTTCAATATACCCTGTGATTTGACTAAAATACTTAAACATACCCCATGATTTGAAAAATTACTTAAATACGCCTCTCTAAAGAATAAAAGTTAATATTGACGCAAAAGAAATAAAAGGAGAAAAATGTCTTTTACTGTTCATTAATTTTTCAGAACATACCCCTCTTCACCCCAATGATATTGTGCTGTTGTGCAGTAGGTGATACATTTGAACTTTCCTGTTAATATATTCTAATCCAAATTTTGAATAATTAAAGGATTCTGATATTGTCAATGAATTCTAACAGACTAGATTCTATGAAGATACAAATATCTGGGAAAAAAACTAGAGAAGAATAGGCAGCAGGGATTTGTATCCGGGGAAAAACTGCCGCTGGTAAATCAAACCATCGATCGGGACTGGATTGGCTGGAAACAACATTTTACACACTGGGCTGGGGAACCAATCTTTGTGTAAACACACCAGTGTTTCATAAACCCAGGGCCCATGTGGGACCTATAACACCAGTTCACGGAACACTGTCGTGTTCACTCGTAATTTGTTCCCCAGCCCAGTGTGCAAGATTTTGTCTCCAACCAATCTGGACTGATATCGATTACCTCTTCGGAATAAAACCACCTCTTGCTTTAACAATGAATCCTCCAAATATTTCTCTCTTAGCCTGTATGTATTTCCTAGAAAGTTGTTTATACCATGTTGAAAAATGTATATTAGTAAAACCACTCATCACTCATCAGCGGCTAATACCCAAAAGCAGGGAAAAAAAAACACCCGATCGGCATGGTCTCATCTCAATTATCAGGTCACCCCATTGCTGCTGATCTTCTGATCATTTTCAAACACACGCTGAGGAGCCTCGTCAACCATATTGAATCCATTCTTGGCAAATTACTAATAGCAGAAATGCAATGAAGATATCATCTGCCAATGAGGCTCCCTTATATATTTACTTGAAAAAAATCAGGGTTCTCTGAGTTCATCCTTGATGGGTTCTTTCGGCTATTGAAAAAAGAAGGGTAAAAGACTTAAATATACCCGAGTTTTCATAAATTGACTTTAATGCACTCTAAATTTTTCAAATAGACTTAAATATACCCTCTGAGGTGACCCCATTAGACTTAAACATACCTCCATCAATAAAACAATTCATTTAAAATTTTTAAAATCCTATTTTGCTCTTCTAGACAGAAAAGTGAAGAAAATAACAAGTGAGGTAGAAGAAGAAAGTTAGGCCATTTTCTAGATAAAATAGAGGAAAGGTAAGCTTTCAAAATTCTTGTACTGTAAAACAGCTTGGTGAAAAACCAAGCTTTAACTATTTGTAGCCTGCTAACCGCCACTAGAAACTACCTCAACTGTTGATAAAGGAGAGAGAGAGAACCCACCACTCATGAGTTTGATAATTTTAAGGTAGATTTTAAAAATTTGAAAGAATATAAAGGATAAAAGAGTCGCAATGTATTTTCAAGTTATATTAAAAAATTCAGGGTAAGTCATAATTAAGTCTTTTATCCAAAAAAAAAACCCTAAGAATAAAAAAAAGTTAAGTACACTGCAACATCCCCCTATACGGTGGTGCTACAAAATTCTGACCTGGAATGATCAGTCATTTTCCCTAAAAAAAAAAAAAGGAAACCAAGCATTCCCTAGCTCCTCATAGAAGGTGCCTTACAGCTACATCCCACCCTATATTGGGAGCATCTTCCATGAATAATAAACGCAAACATAAAAGATGTTCCTGATGTGCAGTCAGGTCCTCAGGACAGGCCGAGTGGGTAAGACAGGTCAGGTGTTCACTGCATTAAGTTAGAGAGGGGACAGGCCATACCGATCAGTGTAAATTGCGTTTAAGTTAAAGGAGTGGCTTTAACACACACCACCCAATTGCGTCAAAAAGAATCAAGTATACAATCTTCCTCAAACGTGGAGTTCAGCGATCCCTTTTTTTTAATTTTGTTTTGCCATAAAAAGTGGAATTCACTGATCAAGCACCTCCAAATATTGATAACATGTAATATTTTCAAGTTTCAAGCAATGCCAACCACATTATCAAATGGCCAAAATTTAGGTTTTGGGATCAATATTCAAGAAACAATGCAATCAATCCCACCAAATTATTCCAAAGTTTAAAACATGTGGATCCAATCATCCACGAACCATTCTAATCTAACAAGACAAAAGGTATCTCACTCCTGTGGATTAGCCGATTAGGGGCACTGTTTATAGTAATCTTACAGTCTTAAAGAAAAGGTATAATATTGAAGATGCTAAGTATTATGTATCAGTAGATGCAAAAGGCATAAAATGAAAGATGAAGACAGATGTGTAGCAGCAGCAGCAGATGGCATTATCCACCGTCCACTGAACTCAAACTCACTCAAATATTCATCCTCACTCCCCAAATGTAGTGCGACCCATAAATTAAAAATTTAAGAGTTGAGGGCTGGCTATGGAAATACCTAAAAATTTGCTTCCCATTCCAAAGCCACAACCATGCCACGAGAAATTGCCACAAGGAAAAAAAAAGACACCATTGATCAACAGCAAACCTATACATGCCAATATTGTCAGTGTACTAGCTCAAAAATCAGAAACTAAGCTTATCCCTTTGGTCTCTTTCCTTTTCTTTTACTAAATTCCTAACCCTTTTTCCCTTTTTTCATGTGTTCCCTTTCCTATTAGGAAATGTTGCCACTCTTCTTTACGTGTCATGGGAAGACCAGTTTTCAGCAAAAAACTGAGGCCTTCCAACCCTTCCATTTCCATTTCCCCACCCACCCTATTTCCTCACAAATAACCTCCCTCCAAAATGAAAAAGAACTATGCCCTAGCATGACTGGCTCTCGATAGAACTTCTTGCCAACATGGAAGGATCAGAGACAACTTGACCAGTGACATCACCAATTACCTCTCCACCAGATTCTTGTGACGGGCTATTCAAATCCCCAGATGATGACCTACTCAAAATAGCCTCAGAATGAGAGTCTGTAGAATTCCTTTTACTAATATCTTTAGTGCTCTTCTCCTCATGGACCTCATCTAGTCCAATACTCTGGACACGGCTTGCCAACAAATTGTAACTGGGTACAGTTGGGGACTGTGGACCTGGGCTAGTAACAAACTGACCATATGGGGGTAGTGGCCAATTCATCCACTCGTTACGCCTCCTTATTTTGTCACCCTACAAGAAAAGGGGAAGACACATTTAAATACGTGAATAATGAAAGAACATTATTTAGCCGCTTTCTATGAATATAATTATGTACTTAGCAAAAAAAAACACATAATGAATGCATAGAATATAATGAATGTTGTCATCACACTCTCAACCGTGGAATCCATACTGATTAAAAAATGTTCCTATTATGATGATCCGTCAGTACCCATGTATGAGCCTCATTCAAGGTTGCTAAAAGCAAAAATTTATTCAAAAATTACCAACATGAACCAATGTTGATGGCAAGGAAATTTCCAATAGCTAATATGTTAACAAAATCCTAGCTATATATATATATAGACACACGCACACACACACACACTAAAATACAGCAGTCTAGAATTTTTTTATTCCATGTCGTTTTTAAAACAACCAATGAGATGTTCTCACTCTCCGTAAAAAAATTACCTAAAATCTCTCTCTCTCTCTCATTCTCGATAGCCTAAATAATAGTCTCTCCTAAAATTTCTCCTAAACTACCTCCCCCACTATCTCCACTTTCTCCATACTGATTAAAAAATGTTCCTATTATGATCCCTCAGTAACCATGTATAAGTCTCATTCAAGGTTGCTAAAGCAAAAAATTATTCAAAAATATTATCGCATGGACCAATGTTGATGGCAAGGAAATTTCCAAGCCTGTTTCTATTAAAAAGAGAGTAATGCACACTCACGAAATAAAGTGACAGCCTCAAATGTGACCTTGGTGCATCAATTGCAATGTGCAGCAAAAAATGTGAACTGGTGATAAAAGGACACATAGCTGACATCGTTAACGTTGTTAAATAGGTACAACTTGTGAGACATGAACTAATGAAAAGCAAGTAGACCATGTGATGTCTTTTAACATGACTGATTTAACATCAACAAATACTAGTGAATGCACCATAGTTGGACTCTTTTAAGTATATGCAGGAACATACCTGAACTTCCACAACAGTTGAACTGCGTACTGCTTCCAGTATAAATGGGATATTATTTGTCAGCTGCTTAACCTGCAAAGCAAAACGATGGAGCAAATTATAACCCTGTGTATTAGCATCAGAACCTTGCTAACATACTAAGATGGGAGTTAAAAAGAACACCTGTTGAAAAGAGTTGATATTATAGAAAATTGACTATGTATTAAATAAAGCTCCACATATTCTACTAGTTGAATGGACAAATAAAGCAGACAATCGTTGTGCAAAAATGGACAAAATACCTAGAAATCAGGCATAGATTTCCAAATAGCATTTTTTTGGTGCATACATGAAATGAACTAAGACAATTTCCAAAGAAATATAATAATCTTATATATATGCATTCGTCAACCATAAAGGGTAAATGCCTAATCCAAACAACAAAAATAGAATAACCAAGGGAGCAAAATCTAGTTTTCAAGGATAGTCAGATAGATGATAACAAATTAGAGGATAAAACAATATTGAAGAAACACAAAAAAACTAAATACAATCTAATATTAGTAACGTTACCACTACCATTAAACTCCTAAATAGCCATACATGTGGAAATGAAACACTTCCTGGTAATATAAATAAAACAGATAGATCATAATCAGAAAATACATTACATAACCCGGATTACCGTTAGGAATAATGAAATTTCTAAAAGGGCACTATCAACCCATGAAGAATGTATGATATCCATGCATAATAAACAAAATATTCCAGCTCAGAATCCAAGATAAAATCTGGAGCTAGATGTATGTGCATGGCATTATAAGATGGATAAAAGCATGGAAATTTTTGGACAGCTGGGAGAAAAAATCGCCACTCCTATTCCAAATAGAATAATCAGACAGAATTGAGAATAGAGAATTGACACAATAAAAAAGTTTGAAAGGAAAAATATGAAAATTGAATTGGAAAAGATTGTTAAAAGATATGAAATTCCCTAAAAACATAGAAATCCAGGTGAAAATGGAAAATGGGGAATGGCAGTTGTGGCACTACAAGATTTTTCAGTCTCGTAAATGGGAAGAAAAGGAAGACCCTAATCCTGAAGCTAAAAGATAACAGGAAGAAGAACAGGAAGAACATTTTTGTTCCACCAAGGTGGATGTCTAGCCACCTAGAAAGGTATCTTTTTTAAACAAGTAATGGCATTCAGCCTAGATGCCCCACTAAGGGTACCTTGTTGTCAAGGTGATGCCTTGTCAACTATGATTTAATAATAACTACAAGTAAGAACTAAAACTTCTGGATCAAAGTAATCAACCTCATGCCCCCTTCCAAACCATACCTGCAGATTTTATAAATCACAACAACACTAAGGAAGAATAACCAAACTAGGACTGGAAAAACACTCCTGACTTCTTACAATGGATGATGAATAGAAAAAAAAAATAACTAGACTAACAAGAGAATTTTCATCAGGTAATATTGTGAACCAAGAACCTCACCATACATGCCCTCAAACTCAGGATACAACAGAATCCATTACAGAAGCATGGAGCATATATCTGCCACCACTTTCCTATCTTGGAGCATATATCAGCCAGCAAAAGTTAAACTAGGCAAAAATGACATCTTTAAAATCGGAGCACAGATTGTTAAAGCCTTCCATTCTGTAAAGGAAGGCCGTCTATAGAGGGGAATTAATGGTAAAACTTTAAATATGCTCAAAACTTGCAAGAAATTTCAACATGAGGCCGAGGTACATCAGGAAAAAAATGTCAGCAGAAATATCATATGTTGTTCTCTTTTAAGCTATTCTGGTTGTTTCCATTTTAAAAGATCCCTCACTCTGACAAGGATAGGGCTTCCTTGTTTTTTGGGCAGTAAGTTCAGACAACTAGGTGCAACTAGGTGCACAGGCAAGGCACATTTTAGGGTCTTTGCCTCACCTAGGCCCAGGCACAGCCCCTTTGAAGTTTGAATAGGCAGATGCCTAGTACGCCTAGGTGTGCACCTGGTGCACTTTGTGCCTCAGCTCAGGCACACACCTTTGTTAATTCTTGTGCTTTTTTGTTTTTCTGAAGCACAGTGGCTACACCAAGGGCTCCACTCCTAGACCCCCGACCAAGCCCCTTGAGGTGCTCAAGTACACTGAGAGAGAGAGGTGGTGTATCATGTTAGTGCTCACTCTAACAGTTATAAACATAAGTGCTAGGTGCGTACCTAAGGATACTGCCCTCAAAACGACTGCTAAAAACATACTCAAGGATGCTGGCCTCAATAACCAGAGAACTTAATCGCATATGGTGGTGTTGGCGGCTTTGTTGAGGTTGCTGGAAGAGTTGGTTGGGGAGCTGGTGCAGGTGGTGGGTTCGGTGGAGCTGGCAAGCTTGGTGGACTTGGTGGAGTCGGTGGGCTCGATGGCACTGGCATACTTGGTGGAGTCGAGGGTCTAGGTGGAGCCAATGGACTTGCTAGGCTCTGAGGTGCAGATGGTGTTGGACTGTTGGTGGGGTAGCCAGTGTACTACCCATGGGTGGCTTGGGTGGCATTGGCGGTGCTGGTGGTATAGGTGGTAGCACTGTAGGTCGTGCTGGTGGTATAGGTGGTGCTGCTGGTGGTTTTGGTGGTGACATTAGGAGGTGCTGGTGGAGTTATTGGTGGTGGTCTTCTTCCACATCCTTCTTGACTGATTAACACAATTTTACATGTCCAGGTTTTCTTGGCTTGCCTTTCAGTTTTAGAGTTGCTTTGATTTCAATAGTTAGGTTAGTTAGGTGTAAGAGAGTGTAAGTGTGGGTTCGCTTACTTGACTACTTTATTTTGCTTCTACTCTTTCCCTTTTTGATTTGTTGTAGGGTCTCTTTTTCATGTGATTTTCTATTTTTCTTTTCAATTGAGGCAAGCCCAAACAAATAAATATTAGGGGATTCTTGAAGTTCAGTAAGTGAGTGAGTGAAGCAAATGAATTAACATGGATTTGTTTGGGTGGGCTTGCCTCAAAGGGCTTGGTACAAAAGGCAGCTCGGAGAATTAGGAATGAAATATATTTAACATCATATTATCTATTTGAAATGGTGCAATTAGGAAAGAAATAAATAAATTGAAAGTTTGACATACTTGAATATGTTTTATATGCTATATATATTTGATTTTATTGTTTGCATTTTCACTTTGAATATTTTTATATGTTATGGTTATGTATTTTAATTTGAGCTAATAAAATTTTTAAAATGTTTAGTTTAGAAATAAAGTGTATTTTTAACTAATCTTATTTTAATTTTTTTAATTAATTTTGAAATTTTTACATTTTTTTGCAATTTTTAACATAATTTTTGAAATTTTTAAATTTTTTGCGCCTTGCTTCAAAAAGCCAAGTGCCTCGCCCTGTGCCTTTAACCTCAAGCACAAAATGCCCTTTGTGCTTTTTGTGTGCCTTGTGCCTTTAAAACTGATATTTTCAAAAAATAATTCTTTGCACACAAGCATTTTCCATGCTTTTCCAGCATAGAATTAAGGTTAACCACATATTTGTTTGTAGGTAGGATGTGAGTGCTTCAAGGTTCTACCTGCCTGTTCAAACTAGTTTCAACTTTCAAGTTTCAACATGGAAATCTAGGTAATCAATACTGAAAGGAAATTTTTTCTACACAGGTTCAATTTTCTTGTACTGGAGGGATATCCTATTCAGCAATGATCGATTTCCAAGCACCCTTTCTTGATAGGCTAACCCTTTCTACTAACCCATTTGCATTATATTTTCATTTGCTATGTTACAATCAGTTCCCCTGTGGAACCACCCATCAGCTATTTGTTATTTGTCCCTTGTGAGTTGTGATGCCAAAGTATCAGCCATGTTGTTGAAAGAATTATAAAATGAGAATTTTATAATATAAAGAAGTAACTTTACGCTAGTTTTATATATCTAAAAGATAAAAAATCTTTTACATATATGGATTTCATTACTTTCAAAAATAATACTACTATAATAAGCATTTAATAGAGTAATTTCATATCAATTAGCAACTAAAGTAGGTTATTAACTCTATATGGTAAAAATTCAAGATGGAAAGTAAAATAGAAAAAAGGATGCAGTTGCTGTTTTATATTGAAGAGAGAGGGGAGGATTTAAAAAAAAAAAAAAAAGCATCTATACTTCTATTATTTCTTTCTTTTTCTCTCCTCAAAACCTTTTGATCTTTTATATTTCAAATAGGAAAACATTAGAATAAAGTATAAATGATATATAGTATATAATAGAATGTATTCACACACATTAATAAGATGCATCGATATAAATGATACTATAATAAGGTGACCACTTGTTATTTTTGTTGCCTAGGTAAGCACCTAGGTTGACAACTATGCCAACCAATCTACCTTATTAACTAATTTTATGACAAATACTTCTGGTTTATTTCTCTCTCCTATTTCATTGCCTATTTCGCATTCATGATTCACCCATCTCACAACCCACCACCAGTTTGATTTGAGTGAATGGATAGGCCTATTTTTGAAATTGTCGTTCAAAGGATGGAGTTGAAGGGGCATCATTGTATCTTGCAAACACTGTTAATTTTCTAATGGAAAAATGTTTGACAGGGGATCTCTTAAGGTATCAACAAGTTAGGGTAAATCCAAGAGAAAGTCACAAAAGCAGAGGAGTGTTTCAGATAATAACCCTTTTTTTGGGTGGAGAGAAGAACTACATTTGAAAAAGGGTTTCCCAAATCTACAGAGGGATTCCACATGCATCAGAATAATGGAAAAAAAAACTCCCAAATTCCAAAAAGGAACGGATTAGAGACGTTGGAAAATACTAAAAGGTGCTAATCTTTACATGTATGACTTCATAACAAAAGGCCCTAATTTTGGGTTTTGTTCTTTACATGAAACACACATATGAGAAAGATATAATTTGGACCTTCTCTTGTGAAAATACTCATTGGCGTTGGCATTGCATGCTTTGATTTTGTAAAGTTGTCTGATCAGGTCAGATAGGTTTTCAAACAAGAACATTAGATACAATGGCATTGCTCCATTGCATTTGCATGCTTTGAGGATAAAGGACTCAGAGAAAGAGAGGTGGAGGAAGGAGGAAGAAAAAGACGATTACAGCATTGATAGATAAGAAATTGGTACTCCTAGATTCACAATAAAAATGAAGCAATATCATCTTCACTAGATTGATCACAAATAACTAAGAAAGCACCCACTCAACAAGCAAGCAAGCAAAAATAAAAGAAAGAAACTCACTCGATTGAAGCTGGAAATCAACGAGACAGGTACCCAACCCTGTTCGTCCATGTTCTGCCGCAAGAAGATATCTTTACATAAATTCTCAGGACTGCAAAAAATGAAACATAAATAGCCAAGTATTGCATGAGCTACTAGGTTCCCAAAAAAAAACTAGATAGCAAAGAGAGAAACAAAAGTATCAATTAATGAATATTTAAGCATTTGGAATGCATCAACCAAGAAAGATACCTGAAATAATAATCTATCTGTCTCACCAGCATTGCACACAATTGAGGATCCAGGGTAGGAAAAAACATAGGAGGTGGTGTATGATGAATAAATGGCACACCCCTGAAGGGTTCCGGTGGAGGAGCGGGAACATAATATACTGGTGATGTCACATCTGAAATGAAAGAAAATATTAGTGCATACCCACATTTGGAAACATAACAACTGACCAAAAATATAACTTACCAGGGAAACCCATAGGGTTCCCAAATGGGCGCACAGGCGGAGGGCCAATAAATGGTGTAGAATTAGGTGGCGGAGGCCTTATGAAGCCCCTTGGAACCATTCTCTGTTGCTGCATATGGACATCTCTACCGTTAAAGCCCCGATGAGAATTCCATTCATGGTTCCCTCGATCCTGATCCCGTCTGCTCCCGTAATTGTTATGGTGGGTACCATCACTACGAGGATGGGACCCACCATTGCCCCTCCGGAACGAATTACGCTGTTGAGGGTGATCGTTGCCAATGTGGGATTGTGAAACAAATCCTCCCCTCTGTCCAGTTTCCCAGTTGTTGCTCTTGTGCGAAGGATCTCGTGGAGCGGATTCCAGAACCACCTGAGGAGGCTTTCCGGACTTGTTGTTCTGAGGCATTTCCATAGCTGGAGCTGGCGGTGGTGGTGGCGGCTGACTGAAATTGCCATTTGCGGATCCGCCCCCACCACCACCACGCTTCATGGATTTCTGGCGTGTGGAGAATACATGGTTTGGGGTTGAATTAGTGGTTGCATTATTAGTAGATTCTTTTTGTTGAGAAGATGTAACAATAGGACCCTAAGAGTAACAGAAAGAAATTCAAAGACATGCATGCGGATGTAATAACCTTTGAACAAAAAACAGTAACAACAAACCATATCAAATACGCCTACATGCATATATACATAAACTTAAAAAGAGACAAAAGTGAGAATCGGACCTGAGGAATTGAGACGGATCCATCAGATAGACCTTTCAAAGAATCAGTTGATGACTTCGGCAAGGCCTTAGTGGACTCGGAGAGTGCGGGCCAAGAGACAGCCCCCATGACCGGGCCAAGCTCGACAGCCCCATTCGAAAGCTTGTTCCAAGCCTGCCTCTTTGCCCGCGCGACATTGCTCATTCCAGCATCGTTCTCCGACGGACTGTCCGCTACAGAATTTTCAGATGATGACACTTTCACAGTAGTGCAATCAGAATCGGGGATTTGCTCTTGAGTTGCAATCATTGGTGATGATGGCGAAGAAGGAGAAGCGGTGACCGCTTCAGAATCCCCTCGAACCACATGGGCCCAAGGAGACGATAGATTCCTCCTACGTAATTGGGGAGTGTTGAAAATGTCACCAGAAAATCCAGAGGAACGAGGGGACAGATTATTGGAAGTTGCATCAGCAGTGGTAGCCATGAAAACTAGGGTTTTTTTTAGTTTTCAAATGTTGGATTGAACGGTGTGTTATCGACGAAATCGATCAAAAAAATGGAATATAATTTAGAAAAAAAAAAACGAAAATTGGAGAGAGGGAGCAGGTGAAGATCAAGAGGGTTAGGGTTTCTATCAAAATTACATGTTGTTCCAAAGATTAATTAACGGATCTAGAAAGATCCGATCTGACGCGAGCAGGGAGACGAACAATCTCTCTGCCTTTCTTTTTTTCCCCTCTTTCTTGCTTTGCTCATTGGACTGGAAACCCAGGTTTTGGTAATGAAATCCTAATTTTACGAAAATGCCCTTCCTTTTTTATCAAGCCACCCATCTTTTATGGTGCCCACGGTTCGGTCCTTTTTTTCAAACTGAATCGGTGGTACCGATTTTTGGAAAACCGACCGATCGGTTCGGTTCATGGATTTTTCAATTTTCATAATATTATATATAATAAATATAAAATATATTATATTATAAAAAGATTAAAAATACATAAAAAAAGATTATATTATAAATAATATATATTTATAATGGATTCGACTATAATACCAGAAAGATATAACATTCGAATAATTTCTGACCAATCAACTGGAATCATAAACATGATATCCAATCAAGTGTTATTTATCAAAATTTGTAGGTAGGTTTTGATTGGTGAAAACTCTTCCCATACCATATCTTTCTTGTATCATAGATTTTTTCATTTATAATATATATATAATATATCCGTTTATAATATATATATAATAGACATAGACATATATAAAATATATGTATACTGGTCGGTTCAATTAACCGTTAGTTTTTTATATTGATTAACTGAAACCAAACTGATCGGTTCGATTAACTAAAATTTTTTATTCAGTTCTGTCAGTTTGGTTCATTTTTTTTCAATTTTTCTTGCTTGCCCCTACCTTATTTTCTAATTTATGAAATCTTCAATTAACCGTTAGGTATGTTTGTATTTTTATTCTCTACTAATACAAATTACAGAAAGGTGCAAGAGGGAGAAGTGATCATTTATAACCCATCCCACCCCGGTCCATAAATTTCCACGTCAGATGGCCTTTCTTTGCCCCATTACCCAAATCAAACAATTCAAGAGGGGTGCAAGATTCCCTCTAGAAGCCCCTGAAGTTGCCACCTGGCAATGCATTCTTCCCTTTTTACCCCATTAATTTAGAAAAAAAATCCACTTAATTAGAAAAACAATTTATCATGATTCATAATCTTGATAAAATGGGAAGAAAACAACCCAGCATTAGTCTATTTCATTGCTCTCCATCATTCACTTGTGTTTGTTTCTTCACAGTTATACCATTTTAATATGTTTTACTTAGAAGTTTTAGTCGAATTTTCAAATAGCAACCTCATTACTGTTAAAAACGACCTGTTTATCCCCAGTTTCAAATTTATAACTGCTCCCTTCTATCTTTCTACCGAAGCATATTACTTGGGAAGGAGCTTGTCATCTTGCTTTTATTGCTGAGATGGTCGGACGGTTATTAACAAGTTAATAAAATGGGACAGACAGGTTGGATCCAACCCCGATTCAACCCTCACCCATCTAACACCCGATTCCCAAAATGCCAATGCTTAATCACTAATGAGTTAAATTTGGTAATGAGTTAAATTGGCTAATTAGTAATCACTACATTTTATTATCCCTAAATATTTTTTTGTTGTTATAGCAAAACAGTTTTGGTAATTATTAAATTAGTTAAATTTGTAAGCTATTAATTAGATAAATTAATTGTGAAAGTTTTTTACATTTTCGAAATTTTGGTAAAGTGGAAAATTACAAGCTGAAAATTACTGATTTTGGAAATTTCATTTCAGAAATTTTTGAAAATTAAATATTGATATCAATAATTAGTGAAAAAATATTAATTAATTAAAATATTAATAAATATCAAATAATAATTAAAACTATCGGTAATTTTTCATTGGAAATTTTATTTCAATAAATATAAATTATCGGCAATTAATTACTAATTATTACTAGATAATTGGATTATTACTCACTAAAGTTGGTAGGTTAATTAACTAAAAATGAATTCGAAATTACTGATAACAATAAATAATTTAACTGAATTATTGTAATTTATTGAAAATTACTGTATAAATTACTATAATTATTAGTAATTATTAATTACTAATTCAGTGAATTCCCTAATTTTGGTAAATTTAAAATTTAATTACTGAATTTTACTTTCTGAAAATAACTGATTTTGGAAATTTTCTTTCAGAATTTTTTGAAAATTAATAAATATCATATTTAATGATATTATCAGATAATAATTAAAAATTCAGTATTTTTTCATCAAAAAAATTATTTCAATAAATATAAATTTATTTTTCACATTTGTAGTAATTTTTAGAAATAACTAGTTATTGATATTTTCAGCAATTTTGATCAATTTATTAATATTTAATAATATTATAAGATAATAGTTATAAATTTTCTGTAAAATTTCATTGGAAATTTAATTTTATTAGATATCAATTTATTGTTTCTTACATTTTCAATAAAAAAATTGGTGTACTTTTGGAAAATTTCCTTGAAAGATAAATTAGTATTGAAAAAGGAAATTATTGATTTGCTTCTATTGGAACAAGAACTTCCTCAAAAGATCAATTAGTATATTTTTGAAAATTTTGGAAAATTAAATTATTGATTAGCTTATATTGGAGGAAAAGATAAATTAGTGTAATTTTGTAAATAGACTATTTAAAAGGAAAACAAACTATTTAATAACAATTTCAAAATAAATTTCAATACTTTTTTTAAAAAATTACACGAATGTAAAAAAAAAGTCCAAAATTAATTAATACATGTTTATTAATAAGCAACAAAAAGTAATAAAGTTTTAGTTTCAAAATTAAATCTTATAATTTGATATCCATTTATATTTCATTTAAAAAAATAAAATGACACAACAAATTTATTGATAAAATAAAAAATAACAAAATTATTTGTTTTAAATTTAATTAGAAATGCCAAAACACTCCTTAGGGTGCAACTTAACTGGGTTAGGTGGGATTGAGGGTCAACCCAAGCCCAACCCTAAGTCCCAAACCACAAGCTTTAGCTTAGTCTAACTCAAGGTTAAGCTCGAGTTTTCCAACCTAGGGCCAACTGAAGCTTAATTCAATATTACGGGCTGGGCTCGAGCTTGGGCATGTTGAGCCTTGTAACCAAATTTCAATTTAGAATACAAAGATAAAATGTAGACCTGTATATCATTAAAATGTTGGAAGGGCTCATATTAGGTTGGGTATGGCTCAAGCTACCCAATGTCTTGGTCCTTGCCCAACTTGAGTTTAAGTTAGGGTTAAATTTTTTGGTACAAACGCAACTTGAAGTTCGGAAAATGAAGCCCAATCAATGTAAAAGCTTTGGTTGAGCTAAGTCAGTCTCTAATTCTTTTAACAAATCCCCACGGGTCCCATGAGTAATATACTAAAACTAGGTTAACCCCCATGTTTGTTTTGTTAGTTGAATGATCACATATATAGGATTTCCAAATATTCTAGGCTGTCCTTGTGGGGCCTACCTTATAATGCCAAAAGAAGATGTTTGAAAAACCCATGCGGCCTCCAAATGCTTATATTTAGCTGAGAATAATCTAATTTTATGGGAGTTTCTTTGAAGCGGCTCAGTCAATACAGCTTAATCTACAATGAGGCGCTCCCAAACAGGCCCTTAATCAACCCATTCCGCCGTTGAAGAGATTGCAATCTATTTCAAGATTTTATCCACTAAAATACAATATAATAGGCCACATAAGGGATAGGAAGGCCTAAGACGAAGGATTAAAATATTGCCACTGGGCGTATCGTATTGGACTGCACCGATACGGGATACGTTACAGCTAGATGTATCCTATCAGTCATGCGTATCGGTCCGATACGCCATCGTATCGGCATATATCGCATAGTATCGGCCGATACAGAAGCATATCGATCATGGTTTCGACTTTCGACTACACAACGTCTCACAATAAAAAAATGGAAGTAAGGTAACTCAAACCCATGTTGGTCAATGTGCACCCAATTCCCAAACGTGCATTAATCACAAAGTCATTTATTATTTCATGTTAATTAGCGTAATAAAATAACTTTTATTAAACTTAATGTTTACATGCAAACAAAAAAAAATAGACATTTATTTTAAAAAACTTCAACTATAAATTAAAAAGAACAGTATTCAAAATTAGTATTTTATAAATAAATGGAATAAATAATTTATAAAATCCACATATATATCAAAAATGAATTTTATTTTTAAAAATTTATACAAATACAATATTCATAATATAATAATTGTTTTAATACTTAAATTTTGTAGATTTGCATATGGTATATATCTTAAAATTTTATGAATTATTAATGAATAGTTTAATTTGCATTAAATAGCAATGTTTTTATTATTTACAAATATAAATGTATTGTTTACAAAATATTGGAAAATATAATATAAATTTATGACTTTTCATATGATATGCATTTTCAAAGTTTTAATAGATTTGATATATTTTAAGTTAAGATTATATATTTTTTATAAATTATTAATTGATATTTTAATTTACATTTTATAATAACATATTTATTACTTAAAAATATAAATATTATTTATCAAAAATTTAAGAATTAATTTTTTAGTCGAATATTTTGTTAATGTTAACAAATAAAAATAGAAAAATAAAAAAATGATATAATAATTCAAATATAATAGTTGCATATGCTTTATGCTTTACACTTTAATAGATAATAAAATAACATTGGCTTTTTGCATATATTAATCTATAAAAATCTATATAATATTTGCCTTGGACTCTTGATTGATGCGTTGTTAATAAAATTGTAGAATATCTACATGTCCAGCTATATTAATTATAATATATTTCTTTATATGTATATATATATATATCATTTAAATATACAATTCCTATGTATTTATATATTATTTACAATTGTTTTGCATTAAACTTAATGCTATTAATAAATTTATGGAATTTGTGTGCATTTTATTACTGTATCCAAACGTTTCCATATTTTTTTCGTTCGTATCCATGCATTTTCCAAACGTATCCGTATCCAAGTTGACCGATACAATACCCGATACTGATACTTTAGTCCTTACCTAAGACTGACACTCAAGTCATTTTTTGAAGAAAAAAAAATTATAACTATGAATACACAAGATACACAAGTTCATATATATTGAGTGTATCCAATAATTTGAACCCTTGGTGCTCAAAATTTTGTAAAGGAAGTG